AAAAAAAAAAAAAAAAAAAAAAAACAAAATCGTTTCTGAGATCAACAAGTTTACATGACTACTGCAAATTAGGTGCTCGTGTTTCCTGGTGAGGGGGTAGAGAATGGCTTGATAAATGCAATTACATTTGTAGTCAGAAGATATGGTTTTGAATTTCTTTACTGTTGTTCCTATTGTACTGTATCCCAAGTTTTCTTTGACTTCAGTATTATTGTACTTTAATTTTTTGTAAACTATTGAGGCTTGTTTTTATAGTTCCATTTATGGTCAATTTTAGCAACTATTTTTGCATATCCTTGAAAAAGAATTATCTATTTTTCTTTTTGTTTTTTATGACTTTCTTTTTGACTTTGGTTTTTAGTAACTTTGCCATGATGTGCCATAATGAGATTTCCTTTGTATTTATCCTTTTAGGGTTTGCTATATTTCCAACATCTGAGACTTGATGTTTCTTAACAGTTTTGAAAAATTCCTTTTGAACATTGCTTCTTTTATTGTTTTGCTCTTCTTTTCTTGGGACTCAATCATAGATGCACTAGACTTCTTACTGTGCTGTATAGTTCTTTTTCTCTACACAATTCAGGCCAGACATTTTCTTCTGACCTATCTTCTAGGTTACAAATTCTTTTGAGCTGTGACAGACCTACTGTTAAACTCATATATTGCGATTCTTATTTCAGCTATTGGCATTTTAAGTTCTAGAGTTTTCAGGTGATTTTATAGTTCCCAGTTCCATACTGAAGCTATCTCTGCTATCACTTAAAGTTTTGAACCTATTAACTTATTAAATTACAGTTATTTAAAAATATATGTCTAATAACTCCAAAATCTGAATTTTCTGTGGATCACTTTCTGTTTGTTTGCTTGTTTTTTATTTAATCACTTTCATCCCCACAGGTTCTCAGGTTATTTTATTATGTGTCTGGTTATTTTGCTTTTATTCCATTGTGAAAATTGATTTCTAATTATCCTAGTTTTTTCCCCATGGCATATTTACTAAGAACTATTCTTCTTAGTGAGCCATGAGTCCAATTTTTATACCCCTCCCCTAATGAGGCGTTTAGATCTCTAGTCATCCTCTTAGTCTCTAAACTGTTGCTTACAATTCTGCAGAAGAAAATAGCCAAATGTTGTTTTGGGGATTTCCTTATCTTTCCCTCAAATCTTTAGTGCCTTCATAACACTCTAATGCTTGTAAATGGATTTTTCTTTTGCTCATCTCTTCTAGATAATCTTCTGGTCAGTCTGATATGTTTGCCTCTCATATTTGGAAGCAACATTTGGGGTCTCAGTATTCTTGAGTATATTGTAGTGTACATATAAGAATTTTTAAATGAGACATTTATAGTATGAAAATTCTGGCCCCATTCATTAGCAGTTATATGGCCAGAGAAGAAATATTTAGCCTCTCTGAATTTGTGTTTTACATATATAAATACTAGAAGTAATAATCTTCACTTCACTGGTGTTAATTGCTTGTATACAGATGTCTCCCCAAAACCCCATGCACTCATAGGTGGGTCTTTTCATAGGTGGCTGAATGTGGCATTAAGGCTGTATGGTACAGAGTTGTTCCACTGATTGGTTTAGTATAGTTTTGGGTGTGGATGATGGGAAGACCACTCTGGGAGTGAGTGGCACCACTCAAAAAGCTTGTAGCCTAGATAGCATAAAGGGGAAAGAGAGGCTTGTTTCACTGCTTGCTGCTTGTTGCCTTCTTGCCTACCCTGCCAAGGACTGTTTCTCCTTTGTGATTCCCCTCTGCCATGCTGCCGTGCCTTGGAGCCAGCCACCTATGGTACTAAAACCACCTACAAACTGTGAGCTGAAATAAACCTTTAATGTGTGGGTGTTTGGCATTTTGTCTCAGAAATGAGAAAAGTAATGAAATGTAACAAAAGTAGTGAAACAAATAGGTTATTTATTTTAAGGTTAAATGAGGATAAGCAAATATGTACATAGATAATTAGCATAATGTCTAAAACATTCCAAAGATTTATAGATGGATACTTTTTGTCTTCTCTCATTTCTAAGGTTTAGATGAGGGTCACTCAAAGGTTCATGTGTCAAAGGCGTGGTCCCCAGGACAGCACTATCAGGAGGTGCTGTGGAACTATAGGAGGTTGGACCTAATGGATGTTCCTTAGACCAAAGGGGATTGTGGGACCCTAGCTTCTTGCTGTCTTTCTTTGTTTCTTGGTTCATGAGGTGAGCGGTGTGTTCTCCATGCGCTTCTACTATGATGTACTCCCTGGTCAAAGGCCCAAAGTATAATTTGACTCAGCCTACCCTGATCTTGGACAGGAACCTCCAGACTGTGAGCCGAAGTTATACTATTCTCTTTGTAAGCATCTCGTTATAGTAATGGGAAGCCAACCAACACATTCCTGAAGACGACAGTTAATATTTCATAGTTCATGATGGTGCAAAGTAATGCAATGTGGTAATTTATAGAAAACTTTTCATAGGTAGTAATGCAAAGAAATAACAGAAATAATATTTCTGAAGCATATTTATTAGTTTGATTTACTAGGCATAGTGCTAAAGCCTTATGTCCATTATATCACTCCATATTTATAATAACAACTTTTATTATGCTGATCATATAAATGAAGCTAGGAGAGATTAAATTACTTTTTCAAGATTAATAAGAAGCCCATGTTTAAATTCAACTCTGACAAACTCCAATAGCTATAGTTATCAATTTTCCTTCTGTCTAATATCACTAAACAAATTATCTTTTTCCTAGTTAAGAAAAAATATCAGTTGTGTAGAATTTTATGTAAGCTCTAGAATCATGTAGATACTCAGTATATGTTTATTGCTAATTGAACTTCACACCAATAAAATTTGCTGACATAATAGTAATAAAATGAATAACAATTCAAATCCAGGTTGTCTTTAACTTCCAACCATAGAAATGAAAAATAATTAAGATGGGTTAATGTAAACTGAGAGTGACAAGTTAAGAATTTACTCATAAACAGAAGTTTTGACCTGTGATCTAGAAGCCAGTCCTCACTGCCATCTGTAGTCGCTAGACTGTCAGTCAACATTGACTATGGCTTGGGTCTATGGTAAACTTTTCTGGTACTTACATGTGAGTCACTTTACTCAAATTGTAGAAGGAATGTGATTCCAGCCGCTGCAGAGTTGTATCTATAGACAAGTAGCTAAACATCACAAAAATACAAGACAAAGTAGAAAGTTAGAAAGGTTGTGAACTCCAAATATTATTTTTGATGTAATTTCTTTGTCAGGGGCTTCCCAGTTCATGCAACAAGCACAGACTGCATGGATTCTCTCTAGTTATGTGAAAACTAATTACTTTTTTTCACAGTTCCTGTGATGCCTAAATGTTCCCAATACTTAATGTATGATTAATCCTAAGGTCTCAGCAGTCATTTCTGATAGAAGCTTTCTCACAACTTCCTGATAAGATTAAAATTCCCATGGTATACCATAATAGTATCACAAACTTCTCCTTTCAGTAATGACCACAGTATACCCTTCCAGTAGTTTGGGTATTTGATGTATTTTATGTCATTAGATTAAATTCTGTGAAATAAGAATTGTGTGTAGATTTGACCAGTGAATATTGAGTGCTTTTCATAGTTTTTGGGAGGTAGTAGACACTTAATAAACGTGTTAAGTAAATAAATAGATGCATTATTCAAAATAGCAAGAATAAAAGCATTAGAAAGTAACATTTAAAAGATTAAGAAACATTTTAAAAGCAGCATTTAGTCACGTAGATTAGAAATAAAGTTTCTAAAAGGATGAAGAGAAAAAATGACAATTCTCTAGAAGAATCTTTGACAGAGATGTGACCACAAATTCTCCCATGACCTCTCCTCTGGATTTTGAATGATGTGGAAAATTTAAGATTCATCTCAAGTTTTATGAGCAAAAAAAAAAAAAAAAAAAAA